CCTCGCTCCACCCAGCTGAGCCGACCCGCCCGACCCAGAACCGCCGCGAACCAGTGGCGCCCAGATTCTGCTTTCCGGAGGGCGTTAAACAAGGCCTCCTCCTTTCTTCTTCTTCTTTTTTCTTTCCTTATTCTTTTTCTTTATCATTCATTGATTGATTGATGATTTAGGGCGCGTCTACTGCTAAGGTCATCCGTCCCGTAAGTGCACTGCGTGTTTTAGCACGAGAAGTAGCGCTGTATGGCGGTATCAGGTGTCTCCCACCAATGGGGCACTGCCCCAGCCTGGATAAGTTCTAAGCTCACGACTAATCACCTGATTTGTGAGGTAGTGTGGTGCATGTAAGTAAGTGTGTGTAAGTAAAGGCTGACGAAAGGACAAGGAAAGGTAAGGAAAGATGGCGCGCTGCCCGTGCACGGTTGGTTGGGGTACTTCTCCGGCATTTGCCTGGTGTTGATCGGATAAACCACGGAAAACTCCCGATCATCGCAGCCGGCAGCAATTCTCTTCCACACAGCGACAGAATTCTATCTACCCAGCTAGTGTCGAAAATCCTGCGACTGTCGGGACCTAGCACCTCCCGGTCAGAGGCACTGTAGTGACATCAGTAGATGCCCTGAGCCACCTCTCCCGGTCAAACAAGGCCGGAGGCATCGACGTTGCAAGGCCCTCTTGTCTGGTGAACTTATTTTTACTTTGCAGCATACGCACCTATGTATGTACGGAGTAATATACATAGGATAGGGAAACTTATGTAATACTGCGGAAAATCAATTTCGACATTGCAACAGGATTACACGATTGGGATATCCTGATACCAGAAAAGGGTTTCTTCCTAAATGTCCGTCCGTCCGTCCGTCCGTCCGTCCGTTGTCTGAAGCGCCCCAGCCGGGACAAGCTCTAAGCTCCCGACCTGTCTCCCTGCATGTGTGCTTGTGTAGTGCGTCTTAGTGTTGCAAGGGGAGAAGATTGGAGAATGAAAAGGTAGGAAAGATCGCGCGCGCGCGGTCCGTGGCCCGTTTGGTAATATACACATGTGCATTATGATGCAAGAGCCACTGCATTATGGTCTTATCTGGAATGAATGATCTAGATGGACTGGTGATTATAAATCCAGAAGGTGAATAATGAGAGGCAGGGTAAACTAGCAAATCACCACATTAAATCTGCAATGATTTTATCTTGTGCATTACATTTAATGTACAAATATATTAAGCTCTTTTAATGTTCACGGTTACATTAAGTTTCCTGTAACCTATAATACATTACTGTAAAATAAATTTAATCACATTTCCGACAGTGTATGTAAAGAGCTGCTGTAATTTATACACATCATACTACGTTACTGCAGTACTGGCAATGATCGTTTTTTTGTTAAAATATTGTGTTGGTGTTATACAAGAATATTTAATTTGCTTTGGAGCAATGAGCATACTCGTAGGTTTTGGAAAGCTGTTTCATGTGGTTTTGTTCTGTAGCATTTTTGCTGCTGCTGCTGCAGACCACTAGCTTTATTACGTCACTCTACCGAGACGTAGTGAGACATGGAGTTCGCCTGGTGTTGATCGGAGAAACCACAGAAAACTACCGCTCAGAGCAGCCGGCCTCTAGAATTCTCCTTCAGACAGCGACTGAATTCCACGTAGCTGACAAGCCAGTGTCGAAAACCCGACCACCGCCGGGACTCGAACCTAGGACCTCCCTGTCAAAGGGACTGCAGTGACATCAGTTGACGCCCTGAGCCCCCTCTCCTGGTATTTCTAATCAACCAATCAATCGAACCCTAGCACCTCCCTATCAGAGCGAACGGTGCAGCGGGCTCTGAGCCACATCATCAGGTGCAGGTCGCCGGCGCGCGGGTATCCGTGTGGGCGACTGCCGGTGGTTGGCGCGACCGCCGTGGGAACGGCGGGTGGTCCACTCGAGGTGCGCGTTGACTGCGCCCTGATTGGCCCCTGCGCCAAATCGCCCGCAGCGCCGGCCCACCCGCCTTTGTACAGCCTCCCGGACTATCTTACAAAGGAGGCAGTGCCTCATCGCCTGGGGCAGTAAATACTCGTTTCCACGTATCGCGTAATATGAATTTCGCCGAAACACGAACAAAATGTGGGGCCTGTCGAAGACTCATACACTGTCACAAATGTCCGCATTACTTTACTGAAATGTACATTAACCCTAGATAGCAAATTCGTCTGGTGTGTGAGCCTAGGCGCCTGGTGTCTGGTGTGAGAGCCAGTCATTTAGAGGTACATACAAAAACCTTCATAATGTATTTTGTAACTATATTATACATGTAAAATCCACTAATTTAATTTTTCCATCGTAAAAAGTCCGTTGCCCGTTTGTTGGAGTATTACTCCCGCATTTGCCTAGTCTTGATGGGAGAAACCACGTAAAACTACCGATCAGAGCAACCGGCCGCTAGAATCTATCTCGAGCTATCTAGCTAATATTGTAAATCCTGCGATCGTCCGAACCCGAACCTAGAACCTCCCGGTCAGAGGGACTGCAGTGACATCAGTTGATACTCTAAGCCATCTCTCCCGGTACTATCGTACAAGTGAGTGTGGGGTTCGAGCCCACGCTGGGAATACATCACCACCACCACCATCATCATCACCACCATCATCACCACCACCGGAGTAGAATCTCGTCCGCGAGTCTTCCCGATGACGCGGGAGGCGTGAAGGCAGCCGAAGAGTTGAGTCGCCGCCTTCGTCAGCGGTGACAAGGCCCAGAGCAGCTGCGCTCCTCTATATATAGCGCCCGGAATCAGTAGGGCGGGGCCTCTGATCTGTATATACACAGTAAGTCATCTCGTGTGGTAAAAAAAAAAATTACACCGCCGTCTCCTCCTCTGTTAGACGAACAAATGTTCCCTAAGTCATTTCGTTACTCCGAAGCAGTTACTTGAATTCTCTTCTATATATCGATTTTTTAACAGTGCCGATTGATGTTGACAGTGCCGATTTGTTAACAGTGCCTGTCATTGTTGAACATCCTGCCTTATAAAATGAATATTTTTTAATAGTGCTAAGCACGTTTATGAGGCCACGAGCCCTGTTGAGATGGAGTTTTGCAAATTAATTA